GCCCGCCCCCGCCCGAATCTCTCGGGCGCACTCGCGCCGCAGTCTGCGCGGGCCCGCGCTCGGACCCCGCCCAATCGCCTCCCGCCTCGGTCGCTCCCTTTGTCTGGGCCTCGGGCGCGGGCCAATAGGATCGTGCGGGAGGGCAGTCGGTGAGCAGTTTGGCCAATGGGAGGGATCGAAGGCGTGGCGATGGGCGGTGCTGCGGCTGCCACCCTCGGTCCCGCGAGCGCTGCTGGACCCTGGTGCAGAGGCCCTGGTGGCTGTGCACCGCTGAGCGAGTGCGGGAATGTGGCCGCAGCGGGCTTCTGCGTTTCTGAATACCCCTTCACTATTGGAAGGCGCTCCTGAACCAGGAGGGACGTGGGAGGGGATGACGTCGCAGCTGCGGGAGCGGGACGGCGTCTTGAACAGGGTCAGTCCAGAGGCTTAAGAGGGCTTGGCTTAGAACAGCCTAATGTGCCTGCGGCGCACCCTGCGGCGCCCATGGCTTTGAGGATGTGCAAAGGGAAATGCAGGAGATGCCACCTCCGCCTCGGAGGGAAGGAGGGTGCCCGGCGTTCTGAGCACCCGGGAGTCTGGGGGCCGAGGGTTTTAGAGGTTCTCAGGTCCTGAGCCTTACAAGGGGCCCTGGAATTGGTGACTGCTACCTCAGGTTCTCCTGAGCAGCGACCCCAACCCTCTGAGCTTGGAAGGAAATGTCAGGAATCTGAGCCATTACCCAGGGACTCAGACCCAAGTGGACCACAGCCAGGCTGCGCAGCCTGCTGCTCTGTCCTCCCTGCAGCAGCACAGACCCTGGACAAGGGGATGAAGGTAGGGCCTCACCAGTACCCTCGCCCATCCCTGGCAGACAGCGATGGGCAGCGTGGGTGGAGATAAACCCCCAAGACTGAGTTGTGACTTCTCTAACAGAAACCTGCATAAGCAGTCTCTCCTGTTTCCAGTCTCCTGTTTCCAGTCTCTCCTTTGGTCATTGCCTGTCCTGTGCATCTTCTGGAAAGTAGCAGACACACTTTTAGTTCCATGAAAAGGAGAATCCACAACCTGTGGGTGTCCAGTGGTCCCAGGCCTCAGGAAAGGTGTTTTTTCAATCTTTTTCCTTGGTTGGTAGCACTGATTATTCCAGCATCCTGCAAACTTTAGCCCCAACAAAGTCATAAACCAAGACAGAAATGGAAGCAGGGCCATTTGGTTGGTTCAGATTGACACTACTGGGTGCAGACATTGTGAGGGGCCTCCCCTGTGGGGCCTGATGCCTGTGTCCTGGGTGAGCTGAATCCTGGACATAAGTAAGCTGCATCATGGTACAGGAGACAGCACTAAGGGAGACAGGCTGGTGACAAACATCCCAAGACCTGCAGCACTGGACCTGAGAATTCTCAAGTCCCCTGCACTGTTGACATTAAAGTCACCAGTTCCCTGTCAAAGTCACTAGACAGTCCCTGGTGCCCCTCTAAGTCTCCACCTTAATGTTCCTCCATAAGGGAGTTCCCAAGGTGAGCACCCAATCAGGCTCCAAAAGGCTGACAGCAGTCCAGAATGTAGTGAGTACCTGGCAGCAGCCACACCTGTCCCAACCTGGTTGCAATCCACAGACCCCCATCAATATGGTCTTGAAGATGCAGCTCCGAGGGATTAAGCATATAAGGCCTGAGACTCGAATGCATTTAGAGACTGCAGAGGAATTGAATCAAGATAGTGTCTAGACAATTCTTAACAGTCTCCCCTCCCACCTTCAATCCCCGTAAATGATAGAAAAAATTTAAAATCCATTATAACTAGACAACAGAAGGGTGCCTGGGGAAATGGGTGGGGGCCTTGCTGTGGCCGGAGAGAGGAAGCCACAGCCTTAGGACACAGAGGGAAGATTTCCAACAGGGATGGTAGCTGTGAGGGCACCTGCTCAGAGACGGCGCCACAGCAGAGGGCCCTGGGTTGGCTGCTGGGTGATGGGCAGGGGTGTCTGAGGGGATTCAGCCTCACCCCTGGCTGTGCTCAGGAAGAGGCGGTGGACGGAGAAGAAACCTCACTGGCAAATAACTCCTGAAGAACAGGGGTTCCCCTGTCCTCAAATACCACACTGGTCACTCCAGCAGCCTACAAGGGCCGACCACACACCTCAAGGCAACTGACCACTTGCTGATAGACACAGAGAACCTCATACAAAGAGGAGCACAAGCTAGAATCGCCGCTGGGGAGAAGCACCCAAACCTGTAGGTCAGACTGAGCTCCCAGGCTCCCACTGGCACCAGGTCCCTCCCTCCCCAGGGGGCTAGACCACACTTGCCAGGTTACCTTGCAAAGACTGTGGCCATGTGGCCAGCGCCCAACTGAGGAAACAGATCCGCCTCTGTACTTGGCCCACACCCCTCCACAGCTGCTCCCTCCCAGGAGAGCCCAGGTGGCAACACCCAAGGCCACCCTGGAAGCCTCAGGAGGACAGCAAGACCACGATCAGCCAGGCCCCAGGTGACCACAGCCACCAAGGCCAGATTGGAACCCAGCTACAGTTCTCAAAAGAAACCCATTTCCCTTCTGCTTAGGGTGTTATGCCAAGTTCTATTACGTCTGGGCAATTAAACTTAGATCCGCAGGGCATAGCGACGTCCTCTTTTCATCCCAATGACTCAGGAGGCTGAGTCAAGAGAATTGCAAGTTCTAGACCAGCCTCAGCAACTTAGCAAGACCCGACTCAAAAGGGCTGGGATGTTGCTGAGTGTTAGGGTGCTCCTGGGTTCAGTTCCCAGTACCAATAAGTGAATAAGTAAAATATCTGTCTTAGTTAGATCTTTAGTCCCAGCTCTTTCTCTCTTTCACAGTCCTGGGCATTGAACCTAGGGGCACTCTGAGCTACACCCCAGAATCGTTCTCTTTTATTTTGAAACAGGGTCTCGCTAAGTTGCCCGGGCTGTCCTTGAACTTCAGATCCTCCTGCCTCAGCCTACCAAGTGGCTGGGATTACAGTTGTGCAACACTGTGCCTGACTCTTGCTCACAGTTCCTGAATTTTACGTCCACCTCCTTCCTGTGGCCTTTGGGAAGGCAGCGTTGGGCTTGGCAGAGTGGCTGGCTCTGGCCAGTGTGCTCTTACCCATTGTGAAGTGGGGGCAAAGGTTTGGAATTTGCTGTCCAATTTGGCCTTGTTCTCTTGAATGCCTGGAGTCCACCATGAGAAGACTGCACCCATGGAGGAATGGAGAACAGACAAGATGCTAATTAATAGGAAGTTATTTGTCATCAGTAAAAGAGTAGAGTCCAGAGCAGATCTTAGCCTACCCTGTGTCCAGTAGCCAGGGTCCACACTGGCTTGGCGAAGCTCGGCAAGCCCGTAGGCCTGTGGGTGTGAGAATCAGCGTTGTTGTTTTAAGCCACTTTGTGTAGTGCACTAAACAGCATTGTGGTGACAGCTGACTAAGATGCCAGCCCTGATACAGAAGTCGGCATGCAGGGCCCAGGGCCACCCTAGGCTATGTGCATTGACGTAGCCGTTGAGTTGAGGATGATGGAGCAAGCCAGACGAGCGGTGGGAAAGAGCCAGAATGTGGGTGTGGTGGGCTGACTCTTGCGGCCTTGCCAGAGTGTCATGAGAAAGACAAGTACCCCAGGGGTGTGCACCCAGGTGGGAAGAGCCACTGTTTCTACCTCAAACAGAAAGAGAAGAGTTAGTTATTGCTTTGAGTCCTGCCACAATGACAGCCCAGCCAAATAAGAGGGCTCAGCCTGTGGCAGGGTTCAGAGTAAGGATCAGCTTGCAGAGGAGGGGAGCAGATCGTTGGACACATCGTGGGCTGTCCTTTGGACCAGGGGACAGGCATCTGGACCCAGTGAGAAGCTTCACATATCCTAGCAGTGCCAGGCTTTGGGCTGGGTTTTCTCCCTGTGAGACCCTTTTCACATGGTGTAAGAAGCGTGGGTGCTTCTGAGTATCTGAAGGCGAGAGGTCAGACAGACAGACACCTAGCTGCCACCAAGAGCTGCTGCCCCTTCTCATGGGGCCCTGGCTGCATTACATTCCCAGGGTCCTTTACGGTAAATGTGGCGTAAGTGCTGGTTTCAGACACACTTGAGCTCCTGGGAGCCTTTGTGGCTCCCCCACCCCACGATGCCAGCGGGGACAATCACTCACAGAAGCCACACTGAGGGTGGCAATGCAGTCGACAGCTCTGGGACCCTGGGTGGCTGTGAGGAACATCCTTCCTCCCACCCAGGGGGATGCTGCTGCTGCCCCTGAACCCCCACATTTCCAAACACACCACTGATATCTTAGGAGAAAAGAAGATTGTTCTGAAAAAATCAAGGACCTGGGACCAGAGGTGTAGCTCAGCGGTACAGTATGTGTTCAGCATGCATAAGGCCCTGGGTTCAACCCCAAGGCCAAAAGAGAA